AGAAATGGGCAAGATTAGGAGGTGTTGTTAGAGCAGTGATTAGCTGAGAGAAGGCGTCAGCTTGAGGAAAGCCCCAACAAAGTGGGACGTCTTCTTTGAGAAGGTAGGTGATTGACCGTGCGAGTGCCGCAAAGTTTTTCACGAACCTGCGAAAGTAGGAGCAGAGGCCCACAAAACTGCGAGCATCATGGACAGAGCGTTAGACTTGGAAGTTTGTTTCAGCGCGTACTTTCGCCGGGTCTGGCCGTAAGCCGGCAGCATCAACAAGGTGACCCAATACGGTAATCTGACAAAGACCGAAGTGGCACTTGAAGAAATTGAGCTGCAGGCTGGCCCGTCAAAATATGGATAGAATGGTCGAAAGGCATTCAAAGTGGGTTGCAATGTAAGTGAGAAAAAGATCACGTCGTCCAGGTAACACAAACATGTCGACGATTTAAATACTTGTAGGAGCGTGTCCATCATTTTCTCGAAGGGCGCTGGAGGGTTGCACAGACGAAATGGCATGACCTTGAAATGGTAAAGACCGTCAGGGGTAACGAAGGCGGTCTTTTCTTGGTCCATGTCATCTACAGCGATTTGCCAGTAGCCAGATCTGAGGTCGAGAGATGAAAAGAAGGTGGCGTCATAGAGGCAATCAAGGGCATCGTCAATGCGTGGTAGAGGGTACAAGTCTTTTTTGGTAATCTTGTTGAGGTTGCGATATTCAGCGCAGAAACGCCATGAGCCGTCTTGTTTTTTAATATTACCACGGGAGACGCCCCAGGGCTCGTTGATGGTTCGGTTACGTTTTTCGTAAGCATTTTGACCACTTCTTTCTGAATTACTTCTCGCTCGGACGCTGACACGCGATACAGCCGACGGTGAATGGGCGCAGAGTCACCAGCGTTGATTCGGTGAGGGACAATTTTAGTCTGGCCTAGAAACGATCGTCGGTGTCGAAAATGTCCCTGTATGAGGCCGAAACTTGGCATCGAGCGTCGGCCTGGTGAGGCGACAGCTCCGTTCTAATCATGTTTCGATAAATACGATCGTCTGAGCTGGGTAACCTTGAGACTGCGCTTCGATAAAGAGCAGATACAGCGACAACACTGACATTGTCCTCTGTTATGGCAGTTAGCTGGGCTAGAGAGATCTGGCAGGGCAACACTTGAGTGGTGAAACCAAAGTTAAGGAGCGGAAGTAACACACAGTTATCCGCTATCGTCGTGATGGTATAGCCGCACATCAGTAATTGGCGTAACGAAATAATCACCGTCAGGAATGACAGGGGTCGATGACAAAGACACGTACGTGACGGCTCGAGGTGGCAGGCGAACGAAAGTGGTTGGGCTCAAGCGGCATGTGGGCTTTGAAGAGTAGTCGGCAAAGATTGGAAGATCAAGGCTGAGGGTATCAGACGAACAATCAATTAAGGCCGAGTGTGCCGAAAAGAAATCAAGGCCAAGTATGAGGTCATGAGGGCAGCAAGCTAGCATGGCAAAAAGGACCCCGGCGTAAGACCGGCTATACTGACGCGAGCAGTGCACATTCCGATTGCTGGTACAGTACCGCCATCGGCAACATGTATTGTCTGCGTCGTAGATGGCGTCATAATCTTTTGTAAGCGGCAGGGTAGAGAAGCGCTCATAATAAACAGGTGCGCCTCTGTGTCAATGAGGGTGGTCACAGGAACATGGTCGACTTGTACTTCAAGCAGGCTATGGTGCGTGGGAAGCGTCAGTAGAAGATTTTCGGCCGTCATTGGTATTGCAGCTTCACCTATAGAAGCTTCATTATCCAGTATTCCTGCTGCGGTCGTCCAGAGAAGCTCGGCGAGGAAAAGCGCCGAGGTGGCGGAGAGCGGGATTGGCGACGTAGCGGCGACAGGGAGCGAGAGCAGCTGCGACCAGACAAAGGGGCGTCAGGGTAGCGGCGACCGGGCAAAGGGACGTCAGTGGAAGGCTCGTAACATGATGACTGAACGTCGAGGGGTTGTCGGATGCATGAGCGCCGAGGTAGAGAAAGTCTGACGTGGTTGGTTTGAACAACGGTGGCGGCAACATCGAAAAACGTGCCCAGGCTGGTGGCAGGAAAAACAAATAGGCCGGTCGTCGGTTGTTCACCATTCCGAAGTGTTACGGAAGGGCATTGTTGGAGGTGAATGGCGAGCATGTCATCAGGAGTAGGACGGGACTTCAGGGCGAGTTAAGGGACATGCTGATGGAAGGCCGAGGTTCGCAAACTCCTGCCTCACCACAGCTTGTATTAACGCCACTGACGACTGTTGTTGGTCAAAGGCGAGCGTTGCGAAAATGGGTGGCTGAAGAGGAGCCGGACAAGCGGCTTCGATTTTCCGAGGAGCAATGCGTGTGACGTTGTCATACGTGGGGGACTGGCGGGCGGCTTCACACGATGAGGTTGCGGCCGTTTTGGGCAGCCGGGTGAATCGCTGAGTAATACGGCGGCTCTTGGCTTCTTCGAACCACCGGCACTCTTTATAATGGCGTCGACGGTGGCAACGTTGTTGTAAACTAGAAGAATAAATGCGTCGTCTGCTACGCCTTTCAGCACATGGGTCATTTTCCCAGACTCACTCATGTGCTCGTCACTCTGGCGGCATTAGGCGATGACGTCGTGAATGTACGTGACGTACGACTTTGTCGACGTGTGTGCACGAGCCGCCAGTTGATTCAGCTCTGCGATCTGCCGCCCATTGGTGTCGCCAAAAAGGTCGTGGATCTTCTTTTGAAAGGAGTCCCAGTTTGTAATCTATGCTTCATGCGTCTCAAACCACACTCCCGGTGGGCCATCGAGGTAAAAAAGCACATTGGCGAGCATAGGAGTCGGGACCCACCTATAGCTTGCGCTGACCCGTTCGTACCGGTTCATCCATTTGTCAACGACAACGCCATCCTGACCGGAAAATACACCGGGATCACGAGCAGGAGGTAAAACTACATATGTAGAAGTCACGGAAGCGGCAGGTGGGGAAGACGATGGTTGTTCAACCTGGGACATGGTTGGACCTATGATGATGCGGCCGTTTTGGAGCTTCGTGATGAAGACGGGGAAGTACCCAGCACGTCGACCACAAGGATGTTACTTAAAAAATGACACGAGGCACGTCTATTTAAAATTTCTATTCAAATTGATGCGTATGGCGTTGACGAAGATGGAGGACAGCACGCACAACCGACAGATCACTTCCTCGATGTCGTCTTCTGACCCCTGATATGTCAGCTACGTAGCAATATAGTGGCCAAAGCGTCACGTGCGTTAGGCCTACTCAGAAGGATTAGTAACAGTCGATGGGGCATGCGGACAGACGCCTTAATAATGATTTACCGGATGTACGTACGCCCTATGCTGGACTTAGGGTGTGTCTTATTTTCTGGCGTACCAGCATGGAAGATACGTCCATTAGTTCCAATTGAGCGCCAAGCACTTCACAGGTTCCTGGTGTTACCAAAATTTGTAGCAAACTCTGTTCTATATAAGAAATCTCAAATTCATTGTTTACCTGTTAGATTCAAATTATTAGCAATTGGAACATTTTTGAGAGTCTCTGAGTCGTCGATGATACGAGAAGATTGTATAGTTATCAGTGATCCAGCTCTGTTTTTTAATATAACATGGCCTCGCTTTCATACCCCTCAGGTAATCGTTACCCAGAAGCTTTTGGACCCATTGCAGGTGCCTATCAGAGACAGGTTCAGGGAACTAGCCATATCTTATGACGATTTACTTCCTAACAATGCAAAAATACTGCCTATTAATCTTCTAAATGGCATTTTTCAAGAGCACTTATATCAAATTGGCTCTACAGTTGTGATAGCCGCTGATGCTTCGCAGTATGAAGAAAAGGCCGTGGTGAGAATTTTTTCTACACCAATGCACTGGGCGTTTTCTGTTAGGCTTCCTGAGTACACATATATATTATTGGTCGAGTTCTTAGCTGTTATATTAGCCCTAAGTAAAATTTCTTTGACCATTTTTTCTGTGGCTATAGTTACATACTCATTGCCCTTTTGTTTGGAACTAACTGTTTCAACGGATTCGGATATTCTAAGATTATTGCGATCACTTGTTTCATATCATTTGAGAAACCTGTGATTAATTTGAGTGTCAGGACACAAAATAATTGTACTCAATGAAGTTGCGGACTCTCTGGCGAAAGCTTCTTTGACAGGTTCAGTTCTCTCTCTCCTTCCTGTTGCGGCGTTTGTTGCTGCGGCAAGGTTCAGAGAGTATGCATTATGTGTGTTTACTCAAAGTCTCGATGCATCACCGGACTTTCTGCACCTACAGTTCCCTTGGAGCAGAAAATGGTGTGCAGCAAGATGAGCTGAAGTTGCAATAACCAAAATGTGTTGTAGAGTTCCAAATTTTATATTTTTACACGCACAGAGCTGGTTTGGTGGTCTCACCTTATTGCTCATTATGCAATGAGCTCGAAACTCTCGAACATTTCTAATTCAACTGCCGACGTTTTTTCTTACAAAGAAAACGTATAGAAATGATCTTGCGAAAATTTGGTCTACCGGATACGTCGCCCGTTCTGCTATCATTTGGGGCCTTTACGCTGGGGCACTCGGACCGGAATATTTTCAAAGCTGTCGAAAAGTTTATATGTGACTCGAATAGATTTAGTAGGTGTATCAACTACCAACAGTTTTTAATTCAGCCTTCCTAGTCAAAAGATCTTAGGTCTCTGGGAAAATATACAAAATAGTGCGACTTAAAATTACAAGTATTCATCATTAACGTTCCATTATAAAAAATCTGCTCAAACTTATTTTAGATCCTACTAAATAATAATTATACATTCAGTATGTATAATCCGCCCGACTTATGGCTGATCCCCCCAAGTGAGTAGGTGCCAAAAATCTTAGGAGCATCATTATCATCATCATCATCATCGGTTATGTTACTCTTGCAAGCAGCACTCGAACAAGGATAGGATAGAAGATGAGATTCTAACCGACTGACACGGCGTCTTTCTCCCGTTTGTACTGCAGGCCCACCTGATGATGAGACAGCTGTCGGGATTGAACGATGTCTTCGAGAACGAAACGCTAGACTACACGCATGAGCTGGTGACTGTAACACGATCACTGTGAGTCACTTTACTGTTGTAGGAATCCCAAAAACAATGCAGCGCATTTCCGCTCGCCATGACGCACGGAATAAAGCTCATACAGTTGGAGCAACCCTGCGCACATTGAAAGGGGAGAGGGGACAGCCAACGGTCGCGTCTCAAGCAGAATGGAAAAGCACTAGACGTTTTTCGTCATAGGAAAAGCACCCGAAGTACAGGTGGAAGAGTCGTCCAGCCCGTAATGCGAGCTTCGATGACCAGGCATGGTCACCCACGGTCCATGCTTGGCACCTTTAGAGGAGACCGGCTGAGAGCTGACACCATTGTCTACGTGTTGCGCTCTCATCGCGAGCGTTGTCCTCAAGCTAAAGATCATGAGAGTAACATTTACTGCTGCACCGTTGGCCCCGCCATGGTGGTCTAGTGGCTAAGGTACTCGGCTGCTGTCCCGCAAGTCGCGGGAACGATCCCGGCTGCGGCGGCTGCATTTCCTGTGGAGGCGGAAATGTTGTATGCCCGTGTGCTCAGAATTAGACGCACGTTAAAGAACCCCAGATGGTCGAAATTTCTGGAGCCCTCCACTACGGCGTCTCTCACTAGCATATGGTGGTTTTGGGACGTTAAACCCCAGAAATCAATCAATGCTTCACCATTTCAAGAAGTCTGCCATTTTTTGTTACTTCTTTCGAGTTAAATGGCTGAAAGTACGTGTCGCATGTTTATTGATGAGGTTAAAAAACGATCTATACAATTTTGCCTCAACTGTACAATTATAATGCATTTTTACTGTGGAAATTTTTAAGCAATCCTCGTAACGGGCATATCATAAAAGATTGCAGTGATCTATTGGCATGTAGCCTTTGAGAGCAAATGACTTCGGGAATAGTTGATATTGTCACGTGTTCGTGACTTCAATCAAGGAATCAGACTCAATGTTCAGATAAAAAAATGTTTATTTGAGCGAAAACTGTGGCCCCGAATAGAAAGTCAGATTACAGCAACACACTGGCACGGATAGCTACGAAAATTGCGTCTGCCGTCGATAAACTGACAAGCAGTCGTAGCGCGTCACCATTTATACGCATGCCGTCGAATGTTCCACTCTTATCACTGGGCGTCGCTCAAGCTCTGGAAAAACCTTGGGTGATGGCGTATTAGGCGCAATCCTAAGAGAACAATCTACAATAATTGTGAACTTTCTCGAACAATGAGGCGCAGTTTACGCTTCATGAGCATTCCTAACAAGCTTTGTGGACGAAAACCTATCAAAAAGAATGTGAAGATAACAAAAGGCCGTGGCAATACAGAACGCAGACATTTTTGCAGAAGAATGTCTTTGATAGCGTTGTCAAATTGTAAAGTTTCGGCTTAGGTGCATTTGAAAAAAAGAATAGTCTGCGGTTGCTAGGAATAGTATTTATTTGAATACACTTATTACCTTATCAGTTCATCTTGCTCTGAAGAGGTGGTCGTCAACAGAGCGACTTGCGAAAGTGGGCTCACATGTTAAGTAATATTCTAGCGCTTAGAGCTGTTAGCTTTAACGGACGTGAATTCGATTATTGTATGAATAGCGTAAAGAGGGTTTGAATGAGTGTGTACCATGAATTACCATCTGATTGCTCAATTCTTGAAGGCAAGCAAGCGAAGACAAGCCTTCCGGCCATGGTGCGTGCTTAATATAAGGTCAGGAATGTTAACACTATCTTGCGTGATGCGAGTTATCTGTCTGTGAGTAGCGTCAGCTTATAGTTAAGACGAACGTCAAGCAACTGAGCAGTCTCCGACTTACAACTAGGTAACTGTGTAGCAGCCTAATCAATACTGGAGTAACTAATGTCACCAAACAGCAAGACGCATGCTTTAAGATACCTCTTAGTTCACTGACTCATGATATTCGTTATCTTCCCGAGGAAATGAGGATAAGTATGGGTCCTGTAGCATACATCAAGAATCATTAGATAAGCCTGAGCATAGAGTAGTGGGCAAAAAATGCCAAAGGCAGGTGAGAATTATTCGTTGGCGGGCTAGTTGTAGATGTTCTGATATGGTATTTAAAGTATGTGCACGGCAAAGAAACGAAGACAAGAGTAGAAATAATGCTATTATCTTTATCTGCTTTGTTCAAAGCATTTTACTGCTCATATAATGACTAAACAGAAGCCTTACACTAAGTGTGTAGTTTGTAAATTTAATAAATTAGACAATTATCTGTTATTTTTAGAGCGTTCCAACAAGAATATTGATACTGCTTTTAAAAACGCAGACTAGCAAAGAAACATTCAGAAGCTCGGACAAATATTGAAGACAGAAATGCAATCCAAGATAAAAATGCTTCTGTTTTTGCACTACGCTGAAACAGGACTGTTGTGTTCCAAGCACCCCTGTGTCACGAGCGAGCCTCCGAACCCGTGAAGGACCGGTTGCTAAAACTGCTTCCAGATGTTGACTTTTCCCCTTCCCCCGCTCGGCGCAAACGAGCCACCGTTGTTTCCCCCGGCAGTTCGACCGCCGCCTTCATCCGAATAGGAATAAACCTGTTTTTAACTGTTCGAGGCTGTCTGAGCTTTTTGGACTACAGCGACCAACGCGTACGTCTATGGGCCGACGACAACACCGGACATAACAGTGGCGACGAGGAAGTGGATTTGGACCAACGCTACGAAACAATATTGACAAGCTACAAGCTATGGCTACGCACGGGCTCCCAAATCGGCTACCCGAATTCAACGGCTCATCATGGTCATCGTGGTTTGGACGCCTGCAATTTTACTGCGAGGCTAACATCACTGATGCAGCAATGAAGAGGGACAACCTGCTAACGCTGTGTGGGGAGCCGACATACGACACAGTCTGTGCCCTGACTCAGCCACGCACTCCAGCAGCCGTTGACTACGACGACATCGTAGCAGCGCTACAAGAGCACTATGACCCAAGGCCATCGGAGGTCTACTGTCGAGCCCGCTTCCAACGGCGAGACCAACTGGAAGGCGAAAAAGCGGCCGAATACGTAGCGGCTTTCAAAAAGCTCGCTGCTGATTGCAATTTCGGGACATTGACCGCGACAGCTGCAGCTACTGCGCAGGAGGGAGGATCGACTGCCACACCTGCTAACACCACTATGCTCCCCTTGGACGTTATGTTGCGTGACCGTTTTGTGTACGGACTGCGTGACGCAGGCCTAAAACAACGCCTGTTCGCGGAGACGGGTTTCACCTTCTCCAAAGCCTACGACATCGCTTAACAAGTGGAGAGCGCCGGTCACCAGCAGAGGGATATTCGACGGAACGTCAAGCCGGTGTATCACACCAGTCAGCAGTCAGGTCATTCCACGTCTAAGGCGAAATCAAGCTGAAAGACACAGCGCTGTTGGCGATGCGACGACATGCACAATCCCCAGGTATGTCGATACAATACAGCGACCCACAATTTTTGCCAAAAACTGGGACACATTGAAAGGGCATGCATCTCGAAGCGCAAACAGCTCGGACCGAAGACTTCAGTGCAACGGAACAACAATGTCGACGCACAGGAGGGCCAGACGCAAGATACAAGCCGAACAGCACTAACGTGATCGGCATTATATGACTTAAACGCCGTTGTGAACCTCCGAACGAGACCGAAGATTACAACTGAAATTATGGTACACCAGCGCCCTATCATGTTTGAGGTGGATTCTGGAGCAGCATGTACGCTCATCAGTGAGGACACTTTTCGCGCTACTTGGCGTGAGAACGTGCCAGCTCTCCAGCAAGACGACACACAGCTGAGAACGTGGTCCGGACATTCCCTTCCACTGCTGGGCTGTGCCAACGTAGACGTGTACTACAACGGGCAGACCCATCAGCTCCCCTTGCTAGTCGTCCACGGTTCTGGATCAAGCCTTTTAGTACAAAATTGGTTCACCCCCCTTGGAGTGGTCATTGGCGGAGTTCATCACACACAGTTATCTGTCAGTGGAGCAGCTTTAAGATAAGTACAAAGCGGTTTTCTCCGAAGAAGTACCAGAGAACAACGGACCTCCAGTCACACTGGAGCTGCGGGAGGATGTGACGCCGAAATTTTTGAAAGCTAGGTCAGTGCCTTTCGCCCTACGAACGTCAGTCGAGAATGAGCTTGACCGACTGCAGGAACAAGGGATCATCGAACCGACGCAACATTCTGAGTGGGCGACACCACTCGTTGTCGTCCGAAAGAAGAACGGTACCCTACGCCTCTGCGGAGACTACCGGAGCACTGTCAACCTGGCAACAAAAGCATCTTCCTACCCACTGCCGACACCGGAAGAGGTTTTAAGCACGCTTCGTGGTGGAAAAATCTTCAGCACCTTGGACTTGACACAAGCCTACCAGCAGCTGAAGGTGAGCGAATCAACGTCTGAACTGCTCACAATAAACACTAATAAGGGTCTTTACAAAGTTAAAAGGCTACCATTCGGAATATCTGCAGCGCCAGCAATCTTTCAGAAATTTATAGAGTCTACACTTAGCGGGATCCCAGGTGTTTGCGTCTACTTGGACGATGTTATTGTCGGTGGCGCCTCCAATGAAGAGCACACACAACGCTTGGAGCTCATTTTGGAAAGGCTGGCAAATGCTAATTTGCGCATCAGTAAAGAAAAATGTGTTTTTGCGGTGCCTGAATTTAAGTTTCTTGGACATCAAATTGACGCGCAGGGTATCCATCCGACTGAAGACAAATGCGTGCAATCACCGAAGCACGAGCGCCTACTAACAAGCAAGAACTGCAGTCGTTTTTTGGGGCTATTGACGTTCTACGACCGGTTCTTAGAACATAGAGCTACAGTGGCCAACAATCTATATCAGCTCCTGCAGAAAGAAGTCCCATGGACTTGGTCGCCACGCCACCAAGAGTCATTTGTTGCCCTTAAGCAACTAGTTCGCCAGTCTACTGTTCTGCGACACTACGACGAAAGGAGACCCCTAGTGCTAGCCTGTGACGCATCACCATACAGAGTGGGAGCAGTCCTCTCCCAAGTTGACGACCAGGGACGGGAA